AGGAAGACCACCAATTAATTATATGGATAGAAATAAATATACTGATGCTGGAATGTTTCAATTATTACCTATTACAATGGATGGATTCTTTTGGAGTAGAAAGTCAATGGCAGATGATGTTGCAAAAGGTTTTTTAGGAGATCGTTATATGAGATTTGATCCAGTATTGCCAGGAAACCTTGATTTAGATTGTAACGATCAAATTGATAAGATAATTGAAATTGGGAATACTATTGATATCACCTCAATAGAAGATTGGATTAAAAGGTATTGGCTTTGAAACAATAATGAATTAATTAAATATTGACTCATTCTGATTCTATATTTGTTGGTAATGTTTCTTCTTGTTGAACCTCAGTTTTTAATTCACCTTCTGGTTCAAAACCTTCATCTAAAGTAGGAGGGGCATTATAGTATTGTTGATATTCAGTCACTAAATCAATAAGATCAGCTTCTGCTTCTTCAAATTCACTTTCTTCCATTCCTTCTTCTGTATATAAATAGATAAATGCTTTTTTTCTTAGCATAGAAACAAACTGTTTGTAAACCCTTTTAAACATATCAGATATAGCTGTTGAATTCGATATCAATGTACCTGACAAATCCAACCCTTTAGGTGGAACATCACAGACAGCTAATTGCATATTATTTGGAATCCATGGAATGAATAAATCTGGATTTTTTTCTCTTACTCTAAATAATTGTTCTTCAACATCATGAGTTGAAACTTTCCCTCTCATAATACAAGAAGAAGTAAAGTATTTTCCAGATTGAGGGTCAAAGTCAACAAGTGTATTTTTCTTTTCAAATAATTGTTGAATAATTTCTTGTACATTTAAACTTTCGTATTTCATTGAAAGAGCATTTGATACTGGAGCAATGGATGATGAAAAAAAGTGAAGTCTTGGATATGGATTCATATTAACTGCAAGTTTCCTCAAGTCTTGGTTTAGTTGACCTGGAAATCTCAAAGAGCAAGTAATTCCCGACATTACAGAAGAGATTAATGTGTTAAGAGATTCATATGATGGTTTTGGTTCTTTCATAATATCTGAAGTAATTTTATATAATGCTTCATTATCAAAACAAAAGGTAATAGCAGATGATTCAAGTAATTTGTGAATACTTAATACACAATTATAAGGTTCTACAACAGTTTCACTAACTGTAGGTGATGGAACAACAGAATAAGTAGATATAATTTTGTTATAAAATTCTTCTTTTAATTTACTGAGTAATAATGTTCCAAGTCCTGACCCAGTTCCTCCTCCAAGTGAGTGAGTTACCTGAAACCCTTGAAGACATTCACATGCCTCAACTTCTTTTCTAACATTTTCCATAACCTTTTCACACAAACTACTTCCTTCACTATAATGACCTTTTCCCCAATTATTTCCTGCTCCTCCATTGCCAAAGATAAAAGAGTCTGGTTTAAACAAGTGACCCACTTTACCAACTTTCACTGCATCAAGAGTCCCTGGTTCTAAGTCAACGTTGATTGATCGTGGAACATATCTTTTTGTAGAACTCTCGTTGAAATAAACATTCAATCGTTGTTGTTGAAGTTTATTGCCTTGAAATACCCCATCTGATGACAGTCCATGTTCTTGACTGATAAGGTCCCAAAACTTTTCTCCAACTTGATTCCCACATTGTCCGATTTGAAGGCTAATAATTTCACGCATAACAATTATATCTGTATTAGTCCAGAAATATTTAAAGTTGTGATTGTGACTTTCGTATTCATCTAATCACTTTCTCTATGACGTAGAATGAGAATTAAAAATAAATATAAAAATCAAAGAAAATAATATCTATCAATTTTGTGTGTCGTCTTGGTTTTGTCACTCTCTTGTATATTTTTTTAGGAGATAATACGTCTGTAAAAGTTATAAATAAATCATATTCAAATAATTTAATTCATTATTCAATTCTTTTTATCTAATTTTGGTTTTTACTTAAATAATATATTTTTCATTTCATTCTATGTTATGAAAAGAAGTTTATATAGATTGGT